AACTATTCTCCATGGAAACCACATTTAGTGATCAGGCAACCTAAGAATAATACTGAAACACTTGTATTCCCTTTCCTCACACCATCAGTGAAAAGTTAGTTTCTGTTGTTATGGGACAAATAGAGAAGGAGAAAGAAAACACACCATTGTGCAAATTGGAGTGGCCCATAGCCTGGATACTGTGTGTACTTGTCCTGTTTTGTTAGTAAAGGAAAAACAGTAATTAAAAAGCCTTGGAAAAGGGCAACAAGGATAACTAAAAGTTTGGGGTGGCTTCAGAAGGTGGAAGGACTGGGAAAACAAGAAACCTTTACCCTAGAAAGGAAGGGACATAGGGCAGTGTGGCAGCAGCCCAAAAAAAAAAAAAAAAAAAGAAGAGGACAAAGTCAATGAGGAGAGCTATTGAGAAAATATAGTACAGAATATTTAAAAAAAAAAAGGAAAAATGCAACTTTTTTTTTTTTTTTTTTTTTTTTTTAAAAAAAAAAAAAAAAACAAGGAAAGCTTGTCTTGGAATCATCTTTTCATTCCCTTTTTCCACACTAGACATAGGATAAAGCTGGTAGCAACAGTGTTTAAAATTTTTAAAAAGGGAGATATTTTTCCATATAACAGGTGAGACCTGTGGGTCTGTTTGCTGTACCATATTGGCACAGAACAGCTGATCTGGGCAGGGATCTATGGAGATTGCCTAGTCAAAACCTCGTCCTCAGAGAAAAGTTTATATATGTTTAAGAGAAGATGGTGTAGAGTAGACACTCGCTGACTTCTGAACAAATCAAAACAGGCTCAGGAAAACCTCCATTTAAGAGAACATGGAAGAGTACTGGAGGACAAATAATATATGCACATTTCATACTTTTTCTTGGCAATCCCCTTATGGCCACTGCTGGAAATACCATACAATGTTATATGGTTCTTTGCTTGAACCTCTATACATTTTTGTTTTCTTTTAACCTAATACATACACACAGTGCAAACACGAAAATGTTTATGCCTCACTAAGTGGAAAGAACTAGTCAGTCAATTATGAAATCAGCCATATGTATATGTATATACATATATATTCAGAGTGTACTGTGTACATATACTATACGTATACTCATATATATGTGAGAACCTATTGTTTTATGACTTGCCAGTTTTAAGAGATTTTAATGGTCCAGTGAAGTTGCTTCTTCCATATGAAATAAATTACTTGCTATTTACATTTATTTCAGTGCACTGAGGAACGTAGATGTACAGCTCTGTGTAATGTGTACTCTGCAACTTTGGTCAGACCTTGCAAGCTGTCTTTTACCATCTAAATGAAATTAAGCTTTTCAATTAGCACTCTTTGCTAATTGAAGCATGTTTTTTCTGCTACCCAGCATATAAGACCCAAGTAAGTAAGCCTCAAAACAAATGCTTTACTATTAAGTCACTTTTTGAGCTGATGGGGGCACACAGCTGTGTAAATGTTCCCCATATAAAGCCTTTTGAAGTACAGGAGAACTTTTTGTATATTGCCTGGAGGTACAGTTGACATGAACAACTTCAAAGAACAGTTCTATTTCCTTTGGGGTAAAAGATTGAATGCACAGTACTGATGAATTACATTTCTGTTTATAAACACATACCAAATCCTAAACTAGTTTGATTCTGAAAAATATTTTTTTTTTTATAAATTGCCTAGGTTGCCCTACAAGGCTGCACTTCTAGGGTTCCCCCACAACTGTTTCTTTCATACTAGTAGTATATCGCTGACCTTATATGAGCTCTAAGACAAACAGTTCTACATTACCATGTTTTATCTTATATGCTGTCTGCAGACCACAGCCACAGAATAATATATCTTCCAGACTCCAGTTTTTGGCTCATACAGCCTCCCCATACTTGAACTGTTTTAATCCCTTTCCTAGATCCCTGTAGAGGTCCTAGCTAATTATGAGGGTTGCTGATCCTTGCTCAAACAGATCAAGAAAATTAGAATACACAGGTACTGGAAACAAGATGACCTAAAATCTAAACTCCGCTTCCTTATCTGTAGAATAAAAGAATACATAGGTAGATATCATAATGAATGTTTAAAAATAATTGCACTTTATTTGGAGGAAATGTAGAATAACATATTCCTATTTTTGATTTTTTTTCTGACGAAGATCTCATGAGCTGAAGGAAAAAAGAATTTGGCATTTTTTTGATCAGTAATTCTGTTGATCAAATATTCACTCTTACCTGTCTTATAAAATAATCTTGTAAAGATGCTGCCAAAAACCCTTCAGTTCTGAAACAAATTATGTAGTCAAACATAATCCAAAAAGTGGATTTAAAAAGCACCAGTCCTCCTTTTTGAATCAAAAGATAGGGTCAACCTTACTTGCAGTGCTACACATCTCTCAGACACACAAACTGTTAACAAAAAATACATTAAATTATAACTTACAACAGTAACAATTATGAAAAAAAGATTGAAAAAGACAGAATGACATCAAAAGTCTCCTCTGTTTTCTCTAAAAAACCAAAAATTACAAGCCCCATATGTGCTATAAAAAGCTGGAAAAGTACAATGAAGCTATAATGTTCAGGAACATAATCTAAGGCAAGACCTGTCGTAGGAGCGTTAACATTATTTTCACCTGATCAGGCTGAAAGCACTACAGAGATAACCCTTCCAAGACACTATGACTTCTGAACCTAATCATCAAGAAGCACATGAAATGAACATTTGAAAAAGGCCAATGCAAGAATTAGTGGGGAAGGAATTATTATTATTACTACTACTACTATTATTATTATTATTATTATTATTATTATTATTATTATTATTATTATTATTATTATTTTGCTTACATTTTGAAATCCCAGACTGGGACCAAAAGATACAAAAATGGAGATGAGCCAACTGTGGATTAAATACAATGAGAAATTTCAGAGTATTTTATGTAAACAGTTTCTCTCAGTATACTTGGAACATATCATGAAGAGGCTTTGGAATTAGTATTACATATTCATTACATCAATCATATGTATATTGGATTGAATTGTCTTCTGAAAGACCCCTGAGCCCAATGTTAGCTTATTATTAATTTGCTGATTCATATAGTGTTTATTGTTGTGGCAGCCAGCACCTTTAATTGAGAAGACTGAAATACAAAGGAAGGTAGGTGGGCATCCTTTCAGATGGTAATCTGCTTCCTGAAGTGCTGATTCAATGGCAATCTGCCCAGGATAGAAGTGAATTACAACTCCCAGCATCCCTCTCATTTCCAATGAGTTGTTTTATTTTTGAACCAAGAGTTTGACGACAGAAAGATATTTCAGATAACACACAATTCAAGGACTATCCCAAAGGATATTTTTCATATTAATTTCAGGAAGAAGCCTGTAGGGCTGTCCATGTAATTGATTCACACATAATTCAAGGAAAGTCGAAGTGTTCATTGTACTACTGAGTAAAATTTCACATACATCATAGCTGAAGCTGGCAGTGGTGCTCACAGTTAAGGCAGCCTGACACTTGCCGATTACTGGACCATTTTCACTACTTCCTATTTTCTGATCTACCAGCCACAAAATTGAAACATCCCAAGACATATCCCCAAAACAAGAAGACTCTAAGCAATACTGGATTAACGTTCATTTGCTGCCCATTCCATAGTGTGCAACAGAGATTAAGACTCATTATTTGTTTAAATGTTCATGGTGTTTTGATAGAGTAGGAGATATTTCTCCCTTCCTTTATCTTTTCAATTCCACTTTTCCATCCTCCATATAACTCCTGTCCTCCAGTCTGTACATGAGCATTGTTTAGACTGCTTAAAACGTGAAAGGAAGGCTTTTTTAAAAAAGGAGTAGGGTTCACACTGTAATTTTCACAGTAGAGGAGCAAACTTGACTTTATGATCTTTTTATGTTTCTTACTTCTGTACACATTAATTGGAATGGTAGCACCTGCTGAATGATAGGAAAGGGAGTTATGTCCATTTTCTAAAGCATATCAATATAGGAGAGGAAATCAGCTGAAAAAAGTCCTTTCCCTGGACCTCATCAGAAGAAACTTATATCAAGCCTGTCACTTCTTTTTGCAGGATCATAACCATATCTTATATCAACTTACCTTACTGTGTCTTACAACACTGATGAAAACCTTTGTTATCTTGGCAACACTAAAACTTCTAATTATAATTGCTTTCAAATTCCCTGACTCTGGTTCCATGGAGTCCTCCTGATGGTCAGTGCTGGGCACAGAAGTAAGTGGAAGGTAAATATCCTTACAATGTTTGGCATAACCTCCCAAGAAGAAGAGGGAAGGAATACAAGCAATTTCATGTAATTCAGAGGATTCATCTGTGAAAGATGAAAGGGGGTCCAGGGGGCCCCTGAACATATGATTTTACAGCAGAAAATATTTATTTTTCTCTCTTAAGAATGTTTATAAAACAATTCCTTAGTATGTAATATTTCTACAAATGTAGCAATTGAAAAGGGATCTCGATATTAAGATTAAACATAATAAGGTAAACATTCTATAAAGTAGCCTAATTTGAAAACCATATTACAAGTATATAAGATATAAAATTACACTTATTTAGGCAGAAGTCTTTAACAGCTGGAGAATGATGATGATGGATCTTAGGATGTTGTTTGGATATGTCTCTGTGTACACATAGTATGTAAATTACCTGTCATCTAAATTTGATTGCAAGTTCATTTTCCCTTTGAGTACAAAACACATGAGTACATACATATCAGTAACATAATAATTTAAAATATTTTAGGGTCAATTTATGTTAGACATTTGCACACATGATTCTGAAAAGCAGTAGAAGATGACTTTTCAGGTAGAAGGGTCTAATGTAAAGCAGTGAATATTATAAGATAATAATATTTTTGAGAACTAAATTGAGCACCAAACCCATTTGAGTTCACATAGTGCACACGGTATCAGCAGTGCCCTGAAATATTAACAAATCAATGTGTATTAACTAAAGCAATTACATGACATTATTCATACTAACCTGCAATGAAACGTTCTTCCAGGTCCATCAACACATACACCTCCATTGTAACACAGAGCTGAGTTCAGGGCAGACTCACTGCAAACATCAACATCAACTTCACAAAACCTGCCAGTGTACCCACTCAGGCAAACACAAACAAATGCATTGTTGGCATCTTGACAAGAGCCTCCGTTAATGCAAGGAGCAGATTCACATTCCTGAGAACAGATAACAATAATAATAATAATAATAATAATAATAATAATAATAATAATAATAATAATAATAATAATAAATTGATTATACATCTTTAAAACACTTTAGTTACTCATTCATCTCAACAAGTGAAAGATTTGGAGACTTGAAAAAGTATTGGACTTTTTTTTATTGTCTGATAAGTAGAAGTCTCTAATTTGACAAAAATTTTGTTTATATAGAGATCCTTTGATTACAACTCACACTCACTATACTTGGTCCTATGCATTAATCTTGCAGAGATGCAAATATAGCTTTATATAAGCAGTCTTCCAGCCAAAAGTATGCAATCTCACTCATGATTAAATTTTTAAAGCATGTTTTCAAGCCATAGCTGATACAATTATTTCTTCTAATTTTTTTCACATTAGGACCTTCTGCTGTAGAAGAAACGCATTAGTAAGGCAATTCTGGACAGAATTAAGAATTACTTATATAAATGAATGCACACAAGCTTATTATCAGTATTTCCTGATAAATGTTTTCTTATTATCAATTAATGCCTAATATTGCAAGTAGAAACATGTTTATGTGTTCACATAATAATAATTTATTCTGATAAGGCTAATGTAAAAATGGTCAGTTTCAAACTACATAAATTAGCAGCAAGTTAATATTTCTCCAGAATTACAGGAGAGTTTAGTTAGTGCAATAGCCAGAATAAAAATTGTGTTTGCCCTTGATCACAGAAACATAGTTTTTACCTGTATCCCAAAGGAGTTGTATTTTGCAGCTGCAACCCAAATAGTCTGGCTAAATCCAGTATTTTAAATTTATTTTCACACTCCTGTAACTTTAGAAGGTTTAATTCTTTAAGGATATCCAAGGGCACTCACATTTCCTGTAGGTACTACTGTAGCTTTGGCAGAATATAAATGCAGATATCCATGGGGAATTGTGAGAAAACAACTTATTTTCCTATAAGCTCTCCAGCTGGGTGTATATAGGATGATTTATTAGTGAGCATTACATAAGCTAATTGAATTATATATCCCACAGGAAAATGGAGATAGTCCTACTGACTGCCAAAATTCCTATGTCTAGGTTCTAGAAGTAGTCTTTTACTGTATTAATTTAAAAAAATTATTACAAAATAATGACAGACAGTAATGTTCTTTTTTTGTTTATAAAAGAATCTCAATTCTCAGTTCCAGCTCTCTTTTTTCTATTCCATTAACTTGTCTAGTCTTCTTAATTTATATTCACTTTTATTCCACACTACAAACCCCAAATTTATTTACTGTCATTAGCAGAATAAATTAAATCTATATCAATTAATGGATCAAATTTTTACCTAATTATGATTAAAAAGTTAAAGTCCAAAAAATACCAAAATCATCAAAGTAATGAAGGATAAATTCAAAGCTCAGAAAAATGTTCACAGTTTTGATTCAATACATTATCACAGTTGTACCAAGTTGTGAACAACATAAAACCTTTTTATTTTCTTCTGTGAAACGCATTGTTCTTTTAAGATTTTACGGTAAGAGAAATGTTAGACAATTTGTAGGAAAGAAATCACACCTATGACATTCTGCTGCAGTTAAGTTTGTCATTAGGCTTGCAAAAACACAGAGTAGCCTATTACCAGAGATCTGCTAGTCTGTATTGCTCTTAACTCATGCAAGAAAATTGTGTCAATGAAAAGACAGCACTATGTTAAAAGTGCCACAAGTAACTTTATCCCAAAGTTGATGAGCTACTACACTACCACAAATGCTGTAGTTTGTAGTCTAAAGAAAGGACACGAGATGACAAACTGAAGTTGCAAGACAACTGTTACCAAGTTTTGCTTATCTAAGATCCTACCAGAGACTGATTTTACAGCAATACATTAGGGAATAGCTGGCTCTGCAGAAAATTCCCAGCTACCCTGATTATCTGAAGACAAGTTCATTGAAATACTAATGCTATTTTCACTTTGTCTTCCTTTATATAATAAGAGATTGAATCTTAACTATGACCCCTAATCGGAGAGTTGCCAAATCAGAGCAACAATAGCAGAGACTCACAAACACAGAAAAATTGCCTTTCTTCTTCCCTACAGTAGGAGAAAAATACTTTCTTGGTCACTTTAGTTGCCCATTTCCCAACCTAATGATATTTTCAACCTTTTCTTGCTTAGAAGTGATCAGATAAGGAAAATTGCCCCTCAAAAACTGAAAAATGAAAACAACAAGAATAATATTCACAAAGATGAGTCATTTTAGCTTTCCAAAACACAATATTTTTTCATATATAGGAGTGTCACAATTACTGACTTATTTATACCTAAATTTGTAGCTTTTTATTTTTGTGGGATCTTTTCAGTCTTAACTAAATCTGAAACTTTAATTTAAATGAGGATTAAAAAATGCATAATTTTTAAGCTTCAGAGACAAAATCTTAATCTGAAAACAAACCTCTTAAGACTTTGTGCAGCTTCTACTAACAATTTGCTAGCAATAAATATTTAGGAACAACAAAAAAAAAATAAAAATAAAAAGGAACCAAAGCCACACACACATACAAAAAACCCACTCAAAACCAAAAAAACCCAACCAACCAAAAAAAAAATCCAAAAAACACCACAAAGAAAATAATACCAAAATGAAACTCCTCCCAAAAGTCACAAAATTACTTTCAGCTCTGTGTTGGACTTCTCAGCAGAATTATTCCATTTAGAAAGCTGAGAACATGCTGAAACCTCCAGGTCTCGCTGCGCAGTCGTAACACAGAGAGGTCAAGGGGCAATAACAATGACAGCTTTGGTACCCAGCATGTTTTCTTCCTCAGGACTTTCCACAAACATCAAGTACTCCTTTTAATTGCTATTCTGTCAGATTTCTTAATTTATTTCATGCTGTACTTTCATTTTTAGTTTCCTCTGAGAACCCTGAAAATCTTTCAAAACATGGATGGCTTTAATAAGCACCAATGCAAAGAAAAAAAATAAAAATAAACAAATATGCAATTGAAATTATTTGTATAGAGTTTTTATCAACTCTTCACTGTCTCACACACTTTATTCTCACCCAAATATCTTCTGAATTTTCTCACATCTGACCTCCTAGGAATAAAGCAGGAGAGGTCCCTTTCAGTAGGCGTTTCTTATTCTGAGTTTGTTGCTTTTTTTCTGTGGAGTATGGACTTCCTCCATTTTGACCTAACATGGAATCCTTTGAGTTTATATGTTGTTAACAGGCAATGAACTTGGAAAAGATTTAAAAATTATAATGGATAAGCTATCAACATGAACTCCCATTGGAATGCTATGGAAAACACTCTTAAGTCTTCAGATAGGTGAACTATGACTTAACACTATGACTTACTAAGACAGGTGATTATTTCTCTTTTTATGGTTAGTGGAAACTGAGGCATTGTGCCAAGTTCTAGAATCTGTTTACTATAAAGCAGATTATATAATGCAGACTATAACTTGACTTAAGTACTAGCTGAAATACTTCACAGTAAGTAAAATTTAAAAAATAACACAACAGAATTTTTAGAATTTTGTTTTCAAACCATTATAACATCATATATACAATTTTCACATGACACTGCTGAAAACATATATATAGGTTAAAAACTATTAAAAAAAAAAAAAGTAGTTTCTAGTTATTAAAAGCAATAATCAATGTGAGTTCTTTGCTACAAGAAGTTCCAGAATTCTTGATGGCTCTGAGCATTCTCAGGTTTACATAATCAACAAAAAAATTGAGAGAGAGAGAGAGATAATGACAGTGTACAGTTGTTTTCACAAGAATTATTATAAATTGAGTATTTAAATCCCAGAGAAAGTCAGTACAAAAATAACCACCTGGATTCCCCAAATCCAGATATATCCAGTAGGAGATAAGGTTCAACTTGACTGCTGGGGATCAGTCACTGTAAAACTGCTAAAACTTGATCTTCCACCTCATTATGTTTTAAAATAAAGGCTCGAGGCACCTCTAAAACATATGGTCTCAGCAAATAAAAGTTAAATACAAGTATTAATTTCCATGGAGATGTAAGTGAATGGAATATACATACTTCTGACAGTAGAACTGGTGATTTTCTGGCTTTATTTTTACTAAACTATGTTTATAGTAAATATAAGTCCTTATTCATTTTCCTAGCTGTAAGGGTCGGTCCGAAGTTCCCCTCGATTTTTCCTCCCGACTGTCGCAAGGAGACTTCAAGGACCCCCACCCATGCTGGCTCTGAACAATGGTTTCCTGCCCGGGCCAGGTGGGTGCTCGTGACTGTGTGCTGGTGTATTGTGTTCACTGGACTGTGCTGTTGTGACACCAACCAGAGGTTGTGTTGTATCAACTGAGGACTGCTTGTCTGTACCTGTCTCCTGCAGCACCACACAATGGTCCATAAATCTTCCCACCTTTTGGCCAGATGCCACTCGCTTTGGACAAGGACTATAAAAGAGCGACCCTCTGGGAAAGACCCTTTGAGATCTCTCCACTGATGAAGACCCCCTGGAGAAGACCCCTGAGATCTCCCCACGGATGAAGACTCGTCTATCGGATGACCCGTGAGGACGCCCATCTCGTCTGTTGGTAGCTATTTTCCCATCCCTTCCTTTCCTTCCCCTTTCCCTATACTTTGTTTCCTATACCTCTCGCCTTTACCGTAACTGAGTTGTTGGCATTTGATGAAATGCATTGCTGTTGTTGAATAAACTGATTTTCTGCTGTTGAATAAACTGATTTTGTCCCCTGCATTTTGCCTGTTTGCACCTTTAAGATCAAAAGAACCATCACGACCCCAGCTCTGCATTAATAGCGGATCATGACACTAGCATAGCAAGGCAATTTAAAAATCAAGGCAAAAAAGTGAAAGAATATTCAGATTTCTAGTTATGCAGCTCTTTTAAGGGTAGATTTTATTAAGAATCCTTAGTTCAAACAATGTCATACAAGACCCACTACTTTTATTAGAGCACAATAATTTATTATTTCTTCTCTGTATTTCCTGTTTTCTGAAT